CCTTATAATTTTTCCATCTTGGGAGACGGAGGAGCTTATTCATCAGCAGGGTACAGAAAAGTGGGAAGTACGTGGAGTTACGTCAAGCGACTAGCCCAGGAGAGGGAAAGGTGGAGAGTGTTTGTACGTGGCCTAGATCTATATCCTGATCCAGGGTGAGAAAGGCAATGATGATGGGTCTTTGTTTGTGTATACATTATGTATAATGTGTGTGTGTGCCTGTGTATGTATGTGTGTGTAGATGTGTGTGCGTGTATGTGTGTGTGTGCTTGCATGTGTGTATGTGTGTGTATGTCTGTGTGTGTTTGTAGGCGAGTGTGTGTATGTGTGTGTTTGTTTGGGAAAGTTGTGTCTGTGTTTGAGTAAGTATATATTTGTATACAATATACGTGTGTGTTTGTAGGTATGTTTGTGTGTATGCAAACGTGTATGTGATTCTGTCTCAAAATGCATGTAAGTGTCTGAGAATCTATTATAGATTTGGCAACTTGAAAACACATGTGTCACTTTTCTCATAAAATAACGACAGCTACAGAGTTTAGAATTGGCAAGTACCTGTAAAAAGATAGATAGGTCCCCATGACAGAGCCCGATTTTGAATAATTCATTACCTGAATTTAGACAAATATATTTGACAAAATGTTCCCGTCCTTCTTTGGTATTTGTAATTATTCCACTGAGAAATTAAAGAAATCTGCGTAGCTCTAGACCTAATTTTTTGTATCCCTCAAGATTTATTGCTCCATTCCTGTAGAGTGTAAGTATAGATTCTAGTAGGCCAATGACTTCCAGTAGATGTTAATTTACCAATCATTCCTTTCATCGAAAGGGGGCCCAGCTAGTAACAATAATAATAATAATAATAATAATAATAATAATAATAATAATAATAATAATAATAATATATGACGCATTGTGGTGAAATCAGGCGCTCGTCCAAATAATGGAATTGGAGAAATCGGCCTTTTTTTCTGCCCGTTTGGACATTTTTATCAGATTTCTGTTTTTGGCTCAACATCTTTTTTTCTATTTGTAGACGCATTAAAACGTGAATTTTACTGAGAAGCGTTCTTTAAAGGACGCAAAATGTAAATGTGCAGTTTCCAAGGACTCTCCAGCTTTGGAAATCACCAAACTTTGATGACTATTTTATCTCTAATTTTATCACTGAAAACAGGGGACCTCCACCTCATTGAATGGCAAATATTTCGACTTCTTTTCAAGGTAGAATGGTATTTTTTTTCATAAAAAGCAAGACAGATGAACAAGCTTAAGATGATATCTATATCTCCACATGCCCAAAAATTGACGAGCGCCTGATTCATATAAGTGTGTTTGTTTGGAATTTTGTGAAAGTTTGTTGACAATGCTATTTTTCAGTCTCCCTTAAGGCCGAGGAGATGCGGGCTCGAGGGTTTGTTGCTCAATTCGGTCCGACGTTGCGTCCTTGTGAAAGGCACTTTATCTGAATTTTCAACTGGGCTCGATCTTTTCGGAGATGGACATAACAATTGGAAATCCTGTCTTTTAAATAGTCCAACAGCGTTGAGAGGGGCGTTAAACCTAACCATTTACCATTTACCCTGATATAAAGCCGAGGTATGTAAATATGTACAGACACATGTCACTAGCGTCTTTGGTGTAGCGTTTAGATTTTTCGCCGCAACGTGAAGAACGCCTGAGTTCGTTTCCCGAGGGGGGAGAATTTTCATCGAGTGTCCCCGTCTTTCTACGGGGAAGTTGTATCCCTCTCAGTCCGGACTAGCCCCGACAAGCAGGATCGGAGCCCACCTCTTATATGATCTATATTGTGAGCGTAAAGTACTTACATTGGGTGTGTAAAACACCTACATAAAAAACAGACGGGACCAATGAAACTATAGCTCGTTGTTGACATTATTTTTCAGTCTCCCCAAAGGCCGAGTACAAGATCGTGGAGACTGACTACTCAAGTTACAGCCTCGTCTTTTCGTGTGCGTCAATCGCTGACATCTTCAACACCCAGTTCGCCTGGATTCTCTCCCGCACGCGCACGCTGGACAAAGCCGTGGTGAGCAGACTGGAGAACACTCTGGCCCAGTATCACATCGACGTGAGCAGTTTCATCCCGACCAACCACACAGGATGCGCAATGGACCAACCAGACATTGATCCTGTAATGGGTAGATTAAATTTTTAAAAATAAAATATTTTGATGTATATAGTTCTTGTAATTATCAACACAATTCAGATGAGTAACGAGCTAGGTTGCTTCGAATCTGTCTGCTAGGCCCAATCCGAGCGAAGAGGGATACGCCTTCAATGCTGACAGACTGACATACTCCATTTGAGAACCTCCCAACGCAGGAATCAAGCTCTCGTCTTTTGTGTGCCTTATTGTTGCAGCATAGAACACAGTTTGATGATTTTAAAAAATGTGTCCTTCCACATTTAAGCTTACACATGACATTCAAAGTGACGGAAATTCATTAAATATATACATATTTTAACTTCAATTTCCTGTTGAAAACAGTTTGTACGCATTTTCTGATTTGTCCCTGCTCGCGGTGAAGAAAAGTTGAGAGTGGTTGGTAGAAGCCCCGGTGTGGTTTGCTCCTTTTTTTCTATGAAATCTCTATCGTTTTCATGTGTCCTCCTTTTCTTTGCATGTTCCTCTCTAGTAGAAAAACCTCTCATATTAGACACTTGTATAAACCATTTGTACTGCAAGTGCCGTAAACATCTTACTCAGTTGAAACTAAAGGAAGAGAAATCAGTATATTTTGTCATTTCTCAACACGCCCCCCCCTCCCGTTTTCTTTTAAGATGGGACAGAATGGGATGAGAAGATATGGAAACAATTTAAGTTTTTCCTTAAATGTCTGAGAATGACCAAAACATCCGCAAAGGAGTATATTCTCAAGCCAAATAAAAGAATAGAAGGAATTAAAGGTTAAAATGACTTGTAGTTTCTGCTATGGCTGATGAGATCAATTCTAGTGGAGAAAGGTTTCCCACGATTTAAGCATTCCAAATTCCCACCTCTACCTTTGGATGTGCGCAGCTTGCAGGCTTCTTATTGGTTTCAGCATTTCTTATTCGTGAAGCCTCATGACTAGCTGCTCATTGTGACTGCGGCTCTCCAACTAGGTCTGCCAGGCGGAAGCTTCTCCCGTGTCAAATGGTTTGTGTTGAAGTTCTCTAGAGACATTGTAAGGGTGTCTTTGTAGCAGGAAACAAAGTGCAGCTTTAACGCTCTTGTCAACTCTGTTAGATGACTTAAGAGACGGGATGCTCATCTCCGGCACGACCAAACCAAGTGGGTAAAGATTTTGAAAACTTCCCACATAACCCAAGTTCAGAACAAGCCATTTTAGGATTCGAACCAGGACTATTCACACTATGCATCGGACACCCGAGACGAGAGAAACACACAAGCGTGGATATATTCGAGCTGCATCAACTTGTGCTTGAAACAGAGAAATCAGAGTACAATTTATAATGACAACCTGTTAACAACTATAAGTGGGGGACATTTGTGGTGTATTCACAAAGCTTTTTACAACAGTAAGGATAAATCTGAAATGGGATACATTCGTAAAGAGGACAGAATGCGAAGCGTTTATTGGCCAGTATTAATTAGAATTAATTCCTGATATTGTTCATGGGGCAACGTTAGCCCCCCCCCCCCCCCCCCCCCAAATGCTAAGGGTGCATCCACTCTCAATTCATTCTCTAATAATGAACACTTTCATGTCTACATGCTTGAAGTAAGTAATTGTAACATTTGATCTAAAGAATATAACTAAAAAGAAATAAAGAAAGAAAAACGAAGTCAGTACACGAGTCTAATACTGAAAAAAGAAATCGAATGGCAGTGTGAGGTATTGGACTATTCACTAGCATTGGGGAGGAAACGAAATCATCATTATAATATTGTGTTTAATACTGAAACAATTTCGAATAGGCTTTTCTTTTTGGGGGTTGGGGGGATGTGGGGGAGGTAGGGTTAATAAACGAAACGAACCCACCAGATCTAATACTGAACGCTTAATCCACATACATATTGTCACATACATATCTAATCAAAAGATCAAAACCCCTCAGATTTCAGCAGGAGTAGGTTTCAGCCCACAAGAGGGCTATCAGTTATTGGTGCTGTCACGTTGGAGCATCCCGTCTGATCGGTCACCAGGAACTGCTTGGTGTCAATCCCAAAAGACCCAAGCTTGGTCTCCAGGCGCTGCACAGTGGTGGCGTTAAGCGACCGAGTCCGTGACAGGATCCAGGCAAACTCCACATGAAGAGTTGAACCGAAATTTTCGCATGAGTAAATCAGAGTGTGCGTGCTGTAGTCGGTTTCAATTATGTTGTACAGTGCTGGTCTCGAACCTGTCGAGGTCGAAATAAAGAGAAAATAAGTCAGCTTTGTTAGGGTTGTATCTAACCTCTTAACTGCCAGCGCTACCAAAAATTCTCTACTACAAGTGGAGAATCTTTGGCGCTACTCCATAACTTTTCTAAGAGCTCAAAATTTGGTGGGTGGTTGGCGAATGCTCTGGTGTGGTTTGCTTCTTCTTTCCTATCAAACATCTATCGTCCTTATCTATCCTTCTTCTTTTTTATGTTTGTTACTCTCTTGTAACACCTCTCATCTTTTGGCGCTCATATGACCTTATGCAGTTGCGAGCGCCGTAAAACCTCTTACTTAAAAAACAATAATTAAAAAATTCAAAACAATCTCAGTGCCGGTCCATTTGACGGTCTACAGCGATGTTTCTGTTTTACTTGACTGTCTACATGAAATCGGTGCTTCAGGGGGTGGGACTGATAGTGATAGTATAAAATAGCCCTGCGCAGAAAGTATCATGGCGATAGACCGTCCGTTAGACTGTAGTCAGTGAGGTGAGAATTGCGGTAGACTTCATAATCACGGTATACTGTCACTGTCATGAAGATTGACACCGAGTCTTGGGCCATGTAGTTTTATTGGTAAGGG